TCTAAGCTGAAAGTAAGTTCAGTTTTAAAGTACATAACTAAAATGATGCAATGTGGGTAATGCCAAGTTGCTTTATTTTCTTGTCATTATGCAATATCACTACTGTTTGAGCTAAATCAGAATTGTGGATTTTTTTACTCTTGCTCAAGTGTTTTGGATTGATTTCATGTACATCAACACAAGACACACTTTAATCACTATTGTTTAAATAGACCTATAAAGGAAAGTAATACACAGATAAGGACACTGCTAATACTATACTCATTATCATGTAGGTCTCATGGTATTGCAAAGCATATTTTACACTTTGACAATCAGACTTTACAGAAGTATGCACAATAAACTAATTTTTTTTTGCTGCTGGACAAAGATTGAAGATACCAAAAATTTTGAAATTTTCTAGAAAACTTCACATGGTTCTAGAACCAAAAGCAGGTAATGCTACTCAAGAAAATTTTGCAGACATGTTCTAGACATTTATCATTTTTAATTCTGAAGATGAGTAATAAGCATGCACATTGCACTTTATGCATAATAAGAAAACTAAATAAACAGAAAAGACAACAGTAGTTTTCTCCCTTTTTTTTAGGCTAGAAAACTAGTTTGATTAACTATGTATCATATTAAAGTAAATGTTTAAACACTGACACATTTCTGTTTTACTTATGCCTACATCTTTTCAATAGTTCTCCAGTATGTATGATTGTAACAAGCTCAATCGAACCTCCCTGATATTATCAATGAAACTTGGAAGTGCTAAATGAGTCAAAATATAATAATGTATTTGTTGTTTCAGTGTTAGGCTGTGCAATGGGCTATCTATGCTGTATCTTCCATGTGGATTGAGCCTCAAATTCTAGCATTATAAGCCTTCAGCCACTAGGAGCTATTTAAAGTTTACAATGTTTTTAAAATTAGATATCAGGTATTAATTTCAAACACTGAAAGTATTCGGTTTCAAGTTTATATATATATATATAATTTATTTATATTATTTTTTTTGCTAGTTCACTACATTCACTTTACCTGTCTGTAGGCTTCACCAGTTCTCCATCTTTAAACCACTCAAGTGGAGATTTGGTATCCAGCATTTCTACTTCCAAGATAACTTGTTCCCTTTCCAAGACTGACTTGTCTTTGAGATTTTTAGTGATCTTATTGGCAGCTAAAGGAACATACGGAGTTGTAGGTTAAATCATAGTATATAATTCTCATGAAATGTGTAGAATTTGACTTTATCCTAATTCACAAGTTTTGATTAAGGTATCACTGCTTACACACACACTTTTAAAATTTATTTTGGGGAACTAGTGAAAAGTTAACACGTGAACTCTAAAAAATACCACAGCATATCTTAATTACTACCTAACATGTCAGTACATACACTCAATTTTCAAAACTATGAAATTTAAGAAATACTGAGATATATTAAGCCATCTAATATTTAGTTTTTGAAATTAGTTAATAAGCTTATAAAGGAATTAACTAAACAGGAATTCAGATCTTAACTTTGATATTCCTAACCATCATCTGACAAACAAGCTTCCAAAATACCAATTTAATCATGTAACTAAGGTTATATCCCAATCTACATAACCTTCTTTTATATCCAACCTGACAAAGATAAAATGTACAATAAACAGTTTAATTACAATCTTCTGTCCAACTACAGCTTAAAATCAACTCTAAAGAATAGCCTAAGGCTTCTTACGTTCAACAATAAGCTCTCCAGTGGTTTTATCAGCATTTGTTTTACAGATATATTCTCCCTAGATCAACTCTAATGAATAGCCTAAGGCTTCTTACGTTCAACAATAAGCTCTCCAGTGGTTTTATCAGCATTTGTTTTACAGATATATTCTCCCTAGATCAACTCTAATGAATAGCCTAAGGCTTCTTACGTTCAACAATAAGCTCTCCAGTGGTTTTTATCAGCATTTGTTTTACAGATATATTCTCCCTAGATCAACTCTAATGAATAGCCTAAGGCTTCTTATGTTCAACAATAAGCTCTCCAGTGGTTTTATCAGCATTTGTTTTACAGATATATTCTCCCTACATCAACTCTAAAGAATAGCCTAAGGCTTCTTACGTTCAACAATAAGCTCTCCAGTGGTTTTATCAGCATTTGTTTTACAGATATATTCTCCCTTGTCCACTACTTTGGCTCCCTTGATAGTTAGGCAACGCTTATGACCTTCCACAGTAATGTCAATTCTGGAAGAGTGGTAAATGTATGGAAAAAAATTAGAAGAGTTCTTCTTTTCCACACATAATCATGACACAAATTAACAATATTTTAGTCAGGATTTTTACTATTAAAAAAGTTCAGTTAAGAAACACAAAGAAAGAAACAAAACATTTACAAAAGCATAGTACTGCACTGTTTCTGGTGCTTGAACCAGCAAATTTTGACCAAACATAGTTTAACAAACATATGAATATCAAGATACCTTTTATCTTTCTTGATTTCAGTTTCTCCTTTGAACCATGTGACCTGAGCTTCCAATTCATCCACTTCACACTCTAACATTACAGTATCTTTTTCTGTAGCCTTCACACTATTAAGCAGCTTCGTGAATGTGAACTTTGGTTCTGATTAGATAAAAAATTTTAAGTGAGCTACAGTGAAAATGATATTTCACATCTGATATAAAGCTCACACCTTTATTCAAGTATCACGTTTAGTTTTGATAGTGTTCTGGTAGTTCTCCTAGAATATACTTATTTTACATGGTGAATTATTTTTATTTTATATGACAAGCATCACATATTAAAGCAACAAGTATATATAAACTTAACAAATGTCCCTTGTTTCTTTATTATTCCTTAAATGTATATATAAAATCACTAACCTGTAATATTGACCTTTGTTGAGGTTCTTTCTTCACTGTTTATTTGACATGTGTACTCTCCACTGTCCTCTGTGGTGGTGTTCTGAATTTTTAAGGTGTGCCTCCCAAGAAGATCAGATTCAATGAGGAACTTGTCACTGGACTACAGTGTATTAACTTTCATTAATGGTGTACATAAAAACAGCCTACAACAAGCCAGAACTTAACAAATGACACAGTCTACTGACTGGTTAAAGTTAGCTTAATAAATCATTTAAAAAACTAAATGTCAATATGCCTATGTGCAAACCTTACAATTACCTTTAATACTGTTATTTGCTGCCTTATACAGTACACCACCGAATTTCTGGTAACTGTTGGTCCGGCACTTCCTTTAATCCAGACAAAATTACGAGAGTGCACTTAAAATTCCCACAACCACCAGACTACTTCACTGGGCGGCCACAGATGCCATTGCGTGTGGCACGCACTCTTTTGGGAGAGGCTACTTACATTTTAAGTAGGTACATCACTCTCGTGAAATTTTCTTATAAATATTAAACTAGTGGATGAAATGTTTTCATGAATGTTGCCAAGAATATGTAGTTTAATAAGATACAAATATTTAGTTTCGGTTTTTTCTTCAATTTTTTACAACACAGAATAGTGTAACATTGTAATAATATTAAAATTGTAAAAAGAAATAAAATTGTAACAGTGTAATAATAGTGTATGAAAATTCAAAATATAATGTACTTGAAAATAACAGTAAAATTCTAAAATTTACCACTTTGGAAGCAATACTACTGCAAAATTCCTTGTAAGTACAATAATTAATAAACCTTTTTCATTTATACTGTACAGTTAAACTTGTATCATTTATACCTGTACTAATGTATTTCATTAATCATTTAATTAACATTTAATTTACATTTAATGTTTGTTTTATTTAAGTTTCTAGCAGTCCATGGTGCTTTAGAGACACGGGAGGGGTATAATTAGTGGGTCAGAGGTGTATTGTTGAATTATTATTACGTGACCTCTGTTGGTCTGGCAAAATGGATAAACCAGCAAGGCTCTGGAACCAAGAGTGCCAGAAAATTGAAGGTGTACCTGTACTATTATAGTTTAATGACTTGTCAATCTATAAAATAAACAAAGAGATTAATACTTAAAAAATTTGGATTGTCTGTCTGTGTATGTAATTTATTAAATAATATAAACATTGTAGATACACCATCTACTGCAATATGGAATACTGGTGTAAAAACTCACTTCAATCCTCTGACTCTCCTTGAACCACTTAACACGAGCCTTATGACTGCTTGTTGTACATTCAAGAACTACTTCTTTCATGATGTGTTCTTCTACCTTACTGGGAAGTTTCTTCACAAATGTGTACACAGGCTCAGCTTCTGTAACAAACAGTAAAAACAACTAAGGGATACAAAATAAAACTAATTACACAGGCTCAGCTTCTAGTGTAATTTGTTTTATTTCATATCCCTTAGTTGTTTTTACTGTTTGTTATAGAAGCTGAACGTATGCAATTTGTTTTATTTGTAATCCTTAGTTGTTTTTACAGTTCATTAGAGAAGCTGAGCCTGTGTAATTTGTTTTATTTCATATCCCTTAGTTGTTTTTACTGTTTGTTATAGAAGCTGAGCCTGTGTAATTTGTTTTATTTGTATTCCTTAGTTGTTTTTATTGTTCATTAGGGCTCAGCTTCTCTAATGAACAGTAAAAACAATTAACAAATATAAATAAAACAAATTAGACTTAAAATAAGACCCAAAACTCGAGTGCTTTCAATTAGTTGATGAAGAATAATCAACTATTCGAAAATGCTCGTGTTTTGGGTCTTCTTTTAAGTCTATTACACTTTATATGTGATCCTTTGTGTTAACTCTTTTATCAAAATAAAACTAATTACACAGCCTCAACATGAAATCAGGTTTTACAATGGTGTTCTATGGTGTTTTACTATAAAAATGAAATTCTGTTCACAGTTATGATGATGTTCTTAATAGCATTCTTTGTCTCCAACAAAGAAACCCTCCAGCAGCCTGTTTAAAAGAAATCCATTTTACCAGTTTATTACTCTGTTAACCATGACCTTCAAAGAACATTCAAATATATATGTTTAGTGTTTTTAAATTCAGAATACGTTAATGTGTTTCTGAACAATCAAAATGGCAGACACAGTTAGATTAGATTTATAGATTAATGTAAAAAATGAGGCTCAAGTACCTTTTCTTTGACACTTTAACTCACAATTCAAGCTAACCTGGTCGTTGGTTTTAAACTTAAAATATGAATGACAACATCAACTTATTGAAAAAGTAATGAAACCATGATATATATGGTAGCGTAATTATCTATGAACTTCATGAATTATTTGGTTACTAAGCTTTTAAACAACTTCAAGTGAGTGTAAAATCACAGTAAATGGAACAAACTTTAGAAGTCTTGATATCAGAAAAACTAATTTCCACACATTTGTGCACTGTCTTAGGTCTCACTCAGAAAAAGATGCACGAACTTGTCAAAACAAGTTTCTCTAATACCGAGATTTATGACAGTTTATCACTTTACTGTGGCTTATTCTCTAACTGCTTCACACTATATTCTGTTCATTTCTTACTAACCTCAAATGACCCACTCCCCACTGCTCACTTGTATAATGTACTGACAAAAAAAGGTTATATTGATTCCTTCCATACTTAATGTTCACTCATTGTATTGAAGAAGAATGGTTACACTAGTTTCTTACATAATGAATGTTCACTGACCTGATGTACTAAAGAAGAGCGGTTACACTAATTTCTTACATACTAAATGTAAACATATATAATGCACTGAAGAAGAACAGTTATTACATTGGCTTCTTACATACTAAATGTTCACTTGTATGATATACTGAAGAAAAAAAGGTTACATTGGTTTCTTACATACTAAATGTTCACTTGTTTGATGTACAGAAAAAGAACTGCTACACTGATCTCTTATGTACCAAATGTTCACTTGTATTATTTTGATGCCCTAATTTCCTGTTTCACCAACTTTCTTGATCTTCTATAATCTTCTAAATCTCCGTACTGCAGGTTTACTTAACTTACAGTAACTGACTCTTCACAACAGTGTACCACAGATTTCTCTAATCTAAAGTCACAGGATCTTCATAATAGTGTACCACAGGTTTCTCTAATCGACAGTCGTAGGATCTTCACCACAGTGTATCACAGGTTTCCACAATCTAAAGTCGCTTGTTCTTCACAGCATTATGCAGTGTGTTTGCTAGTGGTCAGTGTGATGTCTGTTTTAAATCACAGTTTTGTCTTCATATCCTGTACATGGAAGAAACCAATGTAAATGTACTTCTTCAGGCATCATACAAAAAAACATTTAGTGTGTAAGAAAACAAAGTAACCATTCTTCTTCAGTACATCATACAAGTGACTGGTATGACAAGAGTTGCAAAGAACCAGTGACTTGAGACTGGGGAAACCTGTGGTACGTGTTGTGAAGAACCAGTGATTCTGGATTAGGAAAACCTATGGTACAGTGTTGTGAAAAACCAGTGACTCTGGATTAGGGAAACCTGTGGTACAATATTGTGAAGAACCAATGACTCTGGATTAAGGAAGCCTGTGGTACGCTATCGTGATCCTATTACTGTAGATTAGGGTAACCTGTGGTGTAGTAATGTGAAGAATCAGTGACTTTACATTAGGTAAACCTGTGGTAAAGTGTTGTAAAGAACCAGTGATTTTAGATTATGGAAACTCATCATACAATGAAGAAGTAGTGATTTTAGTTTACAAAAACCTATGTACAGTGTTTTGAAGAACATGTGACTTTAGATTACAAAAAGTTATGGTATAATGTTGTGAAAAACCAATGACTTTGACTGACCACGTGACCACTTTGTACTCGTTTAAAGTCATTATAGTTTTGATACTACTAATTTTAAGTATAGTATATATATCTTCACAAAATTTGGCAAACTTTCAGTAAACATTATGTCTTTCACATACAAAAAATTTGGTTTTTTAGTGAAGTATTTTTAATAAACTAAAAAAAGATTTGTCTGTGAATATATCAAGTCATTTTTTTAACTAGTCCAAGACCAAAGTGATTTTCATGTTAAGATTAAAAATACTTTTCTTTATCTTAAAAATCTCAAATTTCATTTCTGTAATCTCTAAAACTAACTAAATACAATTCAAATGTTTGTTTTTGGTAAAACTTTATATTTTATCTGTTATTTTCTCTACCCTAACTCTATACAAGGTTGGTCAATTTGACCAACCTCATAACCACCAAAAAAATTGAAATAAAACTAAATTACCCTTTTTTCTTTTCTAGAATGACTCCAAACTGTAACATGAAACTACAATTGTTTATCCTAAGTAGCTTTAAACTACGGAACAGTATACCTCTATTTGTACTTAAATTTTATTGTTTTATTGCCCTTTGAACCATGTCTAACTACTATTCGTGCCATTATGTTGTAAACCACTTGGGGAACAAGGAGCTAATGTTGCATTAATGAATTACATTACCCATAAGCTACTCCAAGCTGCTCGCATAGTGCCTCATTAAACATTTTTATTATATTATTACTATTTACTTTACCTAATCTAACTTGAACTAACCTAAAGAGATTCCAATTTTTATATGTTAATTACTTTTATAATAATAAATAAATAATACATACGAAAAACAAGAAATAAAGTACTTACCCAGGTCTTCTTCTTTTGCTGTCGACTGTTGATAACACTTAACCCTAATTTTTTTACACTAATGATAGTAATGCATTAAATAATGCACCAAGGAAGAAAGAAAACAATAACCTGCAAAAAGCAGACAATGTCCCATAAATATCACAATTTTCCTGGCTTTCTAACTATGCAACAAGAGCCGTGATAAATTCACCCACGGTAGTTGATATCTTTTCCACAGGAATGAAGCTTGTATTAAAACAGAAATTGCCAATTTTCTGTTCAAAAATAACATAATATAATAATTAATTTGACAGATGAAAACTTATGCTTTCTATTGGTTAAATATAATATAATATTAAACGTAAGAACTATTAACAAATCCTAAAAGAGAGGATGTGACAGGTGGGTGAAGAAAGAGGGGGTCTGATTTTCTGTTTGATGGCTCTGTAACCAAACAAAATTGAAGGCTATTAAAACTATGTTTTGTCTGAGCAATTATGATTTGATAGTGAGTAATTTATTTATTTGAGGGATGGTGAATAAATTACACAAGAGGGACTGCCTTGAAAATACAAAGTCACACTTCTCACAGGATTTTTTATAATATTGCTTTATAAAATCAAGAATTTGAAACTTATATACTATTAAAATATGGGTTATTAGCTATGATTTTATGTTATACTAATTGATACAACATAAACAAAAAGTAGTTTAATTAAATTTTTAATGTAAGTCACTAAAAAACCTCGTGACATGCACAGTAAAGGATGCCCACTGCGGAATAGTTAAGGATACCTGGGGTACATAATTATGAAGAACCAGTGACTCTAGATTAGGGAAGCCTGTGGTATAACGTTGTAAAGTTCGTGACTGTAGATTAGGGAAACCTGTGATACAGTGTTGTGAAGAACCAGTGACTGTAGATTAGGGAACCCCACAATACAATGTTGTAAAGATCCAATGACTCTAGATTAGGGAAACCTGTGGTACAATATTGTGAAGAACCAGTGACTTTACATTAGGTAAACCTGTGGTATAGTGTCGTGAAGATCCTGTGACTTTAGTTTAGGGAAAACTGTGGTACAGTGTTGTAAAGAACCAGTGATTTTAGATTAGGGAAACCTGTTGATTATTAAACAAGATCTTACTTCAATAAGCAAGCCTCAGTAACAGCACTAATACTGAAATTAAAGATCAATCTTTTTGGCTGGTGGTTAAAATATGAAATAATCTTTAGATTAGAAGCCTGAATATATATACATCCATACAAAAAACATAACTGTTTAGCAACTAATTCAAAATTTATTAAATCCTTCAGCATGACACCACAATGGTAATCTTACATGTTTTCTGTATTTATATCTGTGGTGGTGGTTATGGTATTGTAGAGAAGGAGTGACTCTTAATTTTATGAATAACATATTATCTATATAACAGAAATGCAAAGGTAATATTAACCTACCTTCTACTTCAAGTAATGCAGAACAAGAAGTATCCAAACACTGAATAGTATACTTTCCCCTATCATCCTCTACTGGATTCATCACTTCTAACACATGGAGATCACCTGTACTGCTCATGTGATACTTTTTACCCAAGAAAAGCTCTTGTTTACCCTTAAACCATTTTGCTTTCACCCCTGATTTACAAAAGACAGCTTCAAATTGAGCCTGCTTGTCCTTTCCTTCTTTCACTTGTATGTTGATGAGAGGTTTGATGAAAGTATCAGCTTTCTAAAAAAGATTAAGTCCAAAGTCAGTCACACAGATAATGTTTAGACGACACTAAAAAGCAGGAGAAATCATAAAGAATATGTTATCCAGTAAACCTGGTTCATTTAAATTAGACTGTACTAAACAGAATGAGTAGTCACGTACAATATGGTACAGAAAATTCAAATAGACATTATACATCGTACTAGCCAGAAATGTGAAATTTTGCAACAGGCTTCTGTTACTCTCAACAGCACTATAACTACATTGTTTTACTACTTGAAACAAAACCATAATTACATTACTAACACACAGACAAAAAAGCTAATTTAGACATCCAAAAACAAAAGCATATGTGAGTGTCTGTTTAATAAATAATCCAGACAGATACTTATTAACATAGGTAAAAGTGTTTTTTGTTTCTAACAACTTAAGAGATCTGACACCATGGATCTTCCTAATGGTCTCCTACAGTTTATTATTACAAATTCTTACAACAAACCTGACACCAAGGATCTTTCTAATGGTTTGCTACATTTTATTAGTAGATATTCTTACAACAAACCTGACACCAAGGATCTTCCTAATGGTTTGCTACAGTTTATTATTACAAATTCTTACAACAAACCTGACACCACAGATCTTCCTAATGGTTTACTACATCTTATTAGTAGAAATTCTTACAACAAACCTGACACCACAGATCTTCCTAATTGTTTACTACATTTTATTAGTAGAAATTCTTACAACAAACCTGACACCAAGGATCTTCCTAATGGTTTGCTACAGTTTATTATTACAAATTCTTACAACAAACCTGACACCAAGGATCTTCCTAATGGTTTACTACATCTTATTAGTAGAAATTCTTACAACAAACCTGACACCACAGATCTTCCTAATGGTTTGCTACAGTTTATAAGTAGAAATTCTTACAACAAAAGTCTATCTCAGCCCACTGCTGAAAATGATCAATATACTCTCTATTATTTCATTAGATCCAACAACTATGGAATTGGTATAGTCCTTGGGTGGAATAGATTGACATGTTCAAAACATCTAAATATTATTTAAATAATTTTGTGTACTTCTGATGATATTGACAGACATTTTCTCAAAAACCTCAGTTTAAAAAGGCATTTCATTATTTTAACATACATTCTTTAGTGAACTCTAAGCTTTAATAACTAAATGTTTACAAAAGGCAGACTTGTATGACATATTTATATATCTAAATTTGAAACTTATTTCTTCAAATCTCTCAAATAAACAACATTTAACTGTAAATTATCAATTTATAGTTCAATCAAAAAGGACTATAAAACCATGAATATTATGCTACTGTATAAATGTGCATAGAAAATAAGTATTCCACAAACAAATATTTTTCCAAATTATAGCTGTATTTACTTTATTGTCTTTTGTACAAACAGATAGTCTGAGCTGTAATTCTAGTTCACTTATTTAAGTTTGTACATTATTTTAAAATTTAAAAAGAACTATGTTTAGAAGTTACACTAGCTCTTTCTTGTTTCACATAAAGACAATGTCTATACTTCTGAAATGTATCAGTGTGTTCTTTCCAACCAAGACAGCAGTTACAATAACAAACAAAAAAATAATTACTCATAAACTTAAATTTAAAAAAGAATGTTACATAGTTGTAGAGGCAAAATAAAAAGATAATTATATTTAAGTGCTCATAATGTTTAAACCATCAGCTTTACTTCATGCTGCATAAAGAAAGATTTTTTGATTCCATGGAAGAAGAAAGATCTATCTCTACTTATGTTAATGAAGTAAAAGATAAAGAAGAAATATGCAAAAGAACATGTGTCAGTTGTACCAATAATACTGGAAGAGCATACTTTACAAAAGAACACATGTCAGTTGTACCAATAATACTGGAAGAGAATACTTTACAAAATATTATTCATATTATATTCAGAAGATGAAACCAAACAGGAGTTCATGGTTTAGCCTATCCATATTGAGACATTTTTATATCAACCATTACACTTCAGGATTTAATTTTGTTCAGTTTAATATGTAAAACAATGCAAGTTGTTAATTTACAATATCATAAAAATTCTGGCAAATCAATTAAAATTTGTAGAGTAATTATAAAAATAAGTTTTTGAAAATAAATATTTATCATACTATCTGACTTTTATAAAAATATGAAGAACATAAAATATAAGATTCAGAAAAATGTAGATCAGTCAATGTCTCAGAACATATAGAAATACAGAGAATATTACAGCCAGCTCATGAATTGGTAAAGTCTTGAAATTAACAATGAGAATATGGAAGCAAAAGTGAAGATAGAGGATGAAAAAATATACAAGGAAAGACAAAGTTCAAAATGATACATGAATCCAGGAATTGTTGCAGCCAGCACAAGATGTAAATAAGTATTGGAATAAGCCAAGAAAGAAGATAAAAAGAGATACAAGAAAATATATAGTTCAAGAAAATAAACCATATAGAGACTGCTGTAGCCAACCCATGATGTGATTCACTCTCAAAACAAGCATAAAAATATGAAAGAAAAAAGTGCAAAAAAAAGATGGAAAGAGACTGAGAGAGCAAAATAATTCTCATCCTCCAACCTGTCGTGTCACTACTTTCTGCAGAGTTGGCCAGTCAGGTATGATTTCAGCTAATGATTGGCGCCGCCCGTCCCGAGAACCTCGGCGATCCATTAAGGTCTATGGTACAACACAACAGTACATGTCTATCAGGACAACACTTTTAAGACACAACTATGACCGAGGATGGTACAACACATTGTTAATAATCACAATAGCTCATTGAATCATTTCATACTATGAGAATTTTTTAAGTTTATCTTTAGATAGTCACCATATGATTTTATTTGTCTGACTTTCTAGAACCTGCAGTAAGGAAGTGATTAAAATAATTCCAGAATATCAGTTACACTACTGTGTTAGGTTATGAGAGATTTTATTTACCAATAACTAAATGATTTACTTATTCAGAGCAAATGTATTAGAAAAATCATACACTTTGTAAAACTAATAACACTGCAATAAAGCTTGTTCTACTACACAAAACTAACTAAACTCTTTAAAAGTTTCGCACAAAAAACCAAACAACAGATATAACTGTTATTCAGTTTTAGATGCTGGACCAGTAGCAACTGCTAACAATTCTTAACTTAGAGATTTGAAAAACAATTGTATTATTTATCAAAAACAGGTATAAGTTATGTTACAATAAAACATATTCAACACACTATTATAAAATAAGTAACTTCAGTACAAAAGAACATACAACAGAACAGTTACATTAATTCTAAGATGTAGGTAAAACCAGTAGCATACAACAGTATTTCTATACTTTAGATGGAAATTTTGTATAACACAATCTATGTCAAAGATTTGTACTGACACAGACTGAACATGAAAAACACAAGATGAAAGCTACAATAAAGGAATGTCCTAGTGGCAACCTACACAGAGGTTAGGATGCACTGTCTATCATCTCTGACCATAAGCTTCATGTTAGGAAATACAGAAGATTAAATATAATTTAATGAACAACAAACCACACCTCAACCAACTGCTCACCTTGTGCAGCCATTTACAGGAAAGTAATTACTTCTACTGACACAAGAATAAGAACAGCAAAAGAAACAATGAAATAGCTTAATAAAACCAGACCCACAAGGATAATAAGGAAAAATTTATCCTCTTAAGGTTTCCCCTCCAGCCTGTATCAACATGAAAAACAAATTAAGTATATTATTGTATGTGAAGGCTCAAAAAAATTCCTCTAATTACATTAATGTATTATAACACGTAACATCCACTTTAACCTAACTAATCTTAGAGCAGGCGACCAGTTATACAGTTGTACAGACATAGGTAATAAAATAAACTCAGAAACAAGCTAGCTTAGTAAAGCACAGCTTTCTTCTGCAAATATTTAAAACTGTTACACACTAAAACATTTAGTGAATGTAACAATTTGTAAGAATATCAAAACAAGGCATTACAAGTTTGGAATTTTAAAGGAACAGAATAAAAATTATTTACATTGAAGTAACAGTTTGCAAAATCCTGTTTATGTTTAAAAAAATCAGAATACCTCATACCTTATTGTAAAATTCTGAAATAAATAAACAAACACAAATGTTAAACAGCTAAGGGTTTTTCAACCATAACCATATTCTTTAACAGAATTTTTATAACAAGAGTTGTAAAACTAAGTATGAAACATAAATATAATTATATAAAATACTTTGACTGTCTTGCTTAGAAAAAATGATTAATTTACCAACTAAAATGCAACATAAATCATTTAACTCTGAACTACTAAAGCTGACTCACAATAACTAAACTTAACCCACAAAAGATCTCTGTAATCTGAACTACTAAAGTTAACCAACAGTAAAACTCTTTGCAAACCTGAACTACTAAACTTAACCCACAAAAATCTCTGTAACCTAAACTACTAAACTTAACCCACAAAAATCTCTGTAACCTGAAATAGTAAGCTTAACCCATAAAAGATCTCTGTAACCTGAAATACTAAACTTAATCAACAAAAGATCTCTGTATCCTGAACTACTAAAGTTAACTAGCAAAAGATCTCTGTAACCTGAACTACTAAATTGAACCCCAAAAAAATCTCTGTAACCTGGACTACTAAAGTTAACCAACAGTAAAACATTTTGCAAACCTGAACAACGAAATTTAGCCAATAAAAGATATCTGTAACCTGAACTATTAAACTTAACCGACAAAATATCTCTGTAACCTAAAATTCTATACTTAACCCACAAAATATCTCTGTAACCTAAAATTCTATACTTAACCCACAAAAGATCTCTGAAACATGACCTACTAAACTTAACCCACAAAAGATTTCTGTATTCTGAACTACTAAAGTTAACCCACAAAAGATATTTGTAACCTGAACTACTAAAGTTAACCCACAAAATATATCTGTAACCTAAATTACTAAATTTAACCCAAAAAATCTCTGTAACCTGGACTACTACTAAAGTCAACCAACAGTTAAACTCATTGCAAACCTGAACTATTAAACTTATCCAATAAATAATCTCTGTAACCTGAACTACTAAATGTAACCCACATAAGATTTCTTATAACCTGAACTACTAAACTTAACCCTCAAAAGATCTATCTGTAATTTAACTACTTATGTACACCCAAAGCAGCTGTCTTTGCAAAAGTAAACTTCAGTCCTATCAGTAAATGAAAATAACAAACATACATGTATAATATTAGTAGATGTTTATTTTAACTTATATGCAGTTGATGATATCAGAATGATTATTTGCCCATTTAGGTAATTCCTATTTTAGTACAAAGAATGTCACTATATAATAAGTTTATAAAAACTGCATAGTAAGGGTATGCAGTACTTAAAAACCACATCTTACCTTGGCATCTCTGTTTTTGTCCTCATCTTTCTTCAGCTCCCCCCATTCAGGTGCACTTTTCTCCAACTCCCTTTTGGAATACTGCCTATAAGTATACAATTTATTATTACACATATTATTCTTCATAGCAAGTGAAGCAGAATACGATATGGCCAATTTTATTTTTCTAGTGAACACTTAGATGTGTAAAACTCTTTCAAGACAAAAAAGTAAATTAAGTTACATGTTGTACTATCTACATTTTGTAATAAACTCTGACTAATGTGTAAACATCTTTCAAAACAAAGAAATACATTAAGTTGCATATCATACTATTAACAAGTTTTGTAATGTAGTCTGACTAATGTGTCTTTCAAGACAAAGAAATACATTAAGTTGCATATCATACTATTAACAAGTTTTGTAATGTAGTCTGACTAATGTGTCTTTCAAGACAAAGAAATACATTAAGTTGCATATCATACTATTAACAAGTTTTGTAATGTAGTCTGACTAATGTGTCTTTCAAGACAAAGAAATACATTAAGTTGCATATCATACTATTAACAAGTTTTGTAATGTAGTCTGACTAATGTGTCTTTCAAGACAAAGAAATACATTGAGTTGCATATCATATT